TTATTGCACCATGAATTCAACTTTAAGATAGAATTTGAAGTGTGTTTATTTCTTCTTTCAGAAGCTACACTTTAGGACCATAGTTAGGGAACAACATGAATATAAGTCTCTTACTTTTTTTAGGCCATTTATTCTCGTGTACTGTTGACAACATAATTAAGAGCCTATCTAATATTATTATTATTGTTTATTATCTCAATTCATATTTAGAGTAAGTTTATGAGTTAATATAACACCAATTTTAGCAACCCTTTGATTTATGCTTATTAGAAAACTATATAATTGCCTACTTATATGTGCCCTGTGTGTTCCTTTGTTAACCATGTGAGTTAAATATGTTATGGAGCAGGAGGACGCCCCAAGTGTTGTTCATTAGCTCGAAATATCATCAATGTTTACATCATTCCGTGTGGTTAGAAAAGAGATCGACAACACCGGAAGCTGTTCAGAATATAAAGTACACGCTAAGTTACATTTCAAGGAGGCAAGTCATTTGTAGTATTTACTTGTGCAAGAACTGTTGGTGATAACATGGGTTATAATAAATCAAAGGTGAATTTTTTTAAGCAAATACTGCCCTGCATATTGATGGCTGATTTATGTTATGACCATGCCTTCGTCTTCAGTAGTACTAACCAATTCCACCTTATGAGCCCATGTTGTTCTTTATTGATGTTGTGTATTCGGGATAAACAACTCCGTGACTGCACGACTTCCAGCGTTCAATTATCAAGACAAAAACTCACCTTTTTAAAATTATTTTAATGTTTAGGTCCGATGTGTTTTTAGTGTTTTTACTATTTTATGTTGTTTTGCTGCTTTTATGTTGTCTTTCTGTAAAGTGTCTTTGAGTATCCAGAAAAGCGCTTATAAATAAAATGTATTATTATTATTAATAAAAGTGCTTTTGGAAAAAAAAACAGACATGGTTTCTTTGCAAACACGTTTTCATTTCGGTGCCTTAAAACATTAAAAAATGCAACGTTTTTTTCACAAGTGTATATTATTTTGAAAGGAGTATCCTCAGTGCTCCTCGTCATCGTGCTCAACGTTGACACGTAAACCGTGATGACTGAACGGCTCACTTCTTCTCCGGTGTAGTCTTTAGGACGCAGGATACAGCGGTACCGAGGCGCATCGACAGGCAAATACGGCTGAAAAGAAAAAAGTCACAGTTCCAGGTGGATTTTATTCTTCTGTCCTCAGGATTGATCTGTCCATCATCTCCACAGAGCGGCCGCCAGGTGAGTTCCTACTCTGCAGACCGTTTCTTCTTCTAGCAGATTATCTACAACTTCATGTGTTTGCCGTGGAAAATAGTGAATAGACTGTACTTCTGTTTGTTCTCAGTCTGGTTTTTAACATAGACAAGCTGCATAATATTTCATGTTCCTCTATAAACTTGTAAAGTGCTCTCTAGTTTTATTCTGGCATTTATAATACAGTCTGTTATTACTTAAGGGTCTTTGTTCCACAGCTTTGTGAACTGCATGGCTGTTTTAAGGCATTATTGACAGACTAATACTCCTAAAGGATGTTAAACTTATATGCTGTTTTTATACCTTTGTTGTGACTAATTTATGACAGTAATAATATTTTGATGGTATTTTGAGGTAGAGACAGATATGCAGATATTATCCCATATTGTCAATAAGCTAGGATATTTATGATGATTTCCTCTTTTTACTTCTCTTTCATATGCTACCCTGCCTACCTATTGTTTGTGCACACACACACACACACACACACACACACAAAACAAGTAAATAAATAATTAAGTGAGTCAGAGATCCCTGAGGTCTCATTCTGGTATGACAGCAATGACTATGTAAACAACTGTTTTGATAATTAATTGTTTTGAGTCATTTTTTAAAGAAAAAATCTCCAAATTCTCTGATTTCAGCTTTTCAAATGTGAATATTTTCTATTTTCTTTAGTTATCTGTGACATTAAACAGAAGATCTTTGGGTTGTGGACAAAAAAGAGACATTTAAGGATGTCACCATTTTTAACATTTGGCATTTTATGGCCCAAATAAATCAATTCATCAAGAACATAATCTACAGATTTGAAAATAACTGTTAGCTGCAAGCCCTACACTCTCACTGCTTACTGCATTGTGTCTTCCCCTATACCAAATCAAATCCAAGTACCAGAGTTCTCAGAAGAAATCATATCTGGTTGGGCTTAGGCTCAACTATGTGGAATCCATGTTCACCATGTTCACTCCTTCCTCTTCGTGTCCATCCACAGCGCAATGGACCTGCTGCCTGACGTATGGAGGCAGGACTACTGGCTTCCTCCAGGTGTGACCTGGAAGGACATGGAACAGCTGGCAGACTCTGATCGACCACTACCTCAGGACCTTCTCATAGCTCTGCCACTCGCACTGGGCTTTGTTGCCCTGCGCTACGTGTTTGAAAGGTAAAACACAACAACAACTCGCCTCATTCTGTAAATATCCAGGTGATGTGTTTGGCTGTGGCTGTATCCTTTACAGGACTGGCCATTGTTGTCCGTGTGGCCGGGCAATTAAACACTTATCCCGCCTGACCTGCAATAATGCCCACATTCCTTGTTTAATAAGAAACACAGTCATCTCTCAACACAATAGAGAAGTATTATTTGACTTGTAAATTATAGATGTAGATCAAATTCTGTTTGCATGAAATGCTTTTTAGTAGTTTAATTTCCACAATCTAATGAAGCACATGCCCAGTTATCAGCTTGAAAACATCTCTTTCATCAATTTTAGGTTTAGGTAGCAACAGCGCTGTGGGGTTGTTATGAGTGCAAACAAGCCTCATAGGCACTTTTTTTTTCACACTCACACACACACAAACACACACTCACACAAAAACAAACACACACTCACACACACACAAAGACTCACACAGATTGTCTTCAGGGTTTTTGACTGGTTGATTACATCTCCAGTGGGTTCACAGTTGTAACATTCACAGGAGTGAACAGTTAGTGGAATCAAATGGCTCGTTAAACCCAGTTAAAATGTCTTTATGTCATATTACTCCACTAAACTATGCTATTTTATTCTGTTATAGTCTATTACCTCATTTTTATTAGGTATACGTTTATATAGACGGTTCATAGTTAATCTAATCACTCACTTTTGCTTAGGAATATCAGAGAACTACACTATTGGGTTTGCAGATACATCGCATTTGTGCACATTGGTTTAGAATATGTAAAGTTTTCTAGATATATGTTTATATTTATTTTTTACTTATATATTATCCTTTTTCCACTTAACTTCTCTGGACTGCTTATTATGCTGTAATGCTACATTTCCCTCCTGTTAATCAATCAAATTTAACCTTAAATACAAATATGCGTCAAGCTTAGTGGTAATACTACATGTCCACACACACACACATATACACACACAGTGCTTTGTTACCTGCTTTAATGCGTGCATTGTATATAAAGTATAGCCTTCACTTATCCGAGTCCTAAAGTGTTTGTTTTTGACTGGCTGGTAAATGGCTTACATTAACTTTGGCTAAACAACCGCAGCCTGGCACCCTGCCTGTCACACAGTGGGTGTTCTGTTATCATTTGTATAAGCTGTCTTTTGTCTTCCTTCCCCTCAGGTTTTTCGCCCCACCCATGGGCAGATGTTTAGGGGTAAGGAATAGATTGCAAGTGACTGCAGCCCCCTCCCTGAAGCTGGAGTCATTTTACACCCAGAGGAGCAGACAGCCGACACAGGTTGGTCTGAAAAGGCCTCTGCATGCGTGCAGTTCGGCTCGATTTGTAGCACATTTTAATCCAGAGCACACTGAAACAGGGTCAACATGAGGGTTTTTTTTTAAATGTTCATTCTAAGAATTTACTTACCCTTGTTAGTTGTTGGTGTGATTAATGTTCTGCGTGAAAAGTGCAGAGAAACACGAGTGTTGTGATAGTAATACATCCTTGTTCCTGGAAAACCCAGGGGAAAACCCAGCACTGTATTTATAGAGGTCATACACATATGCTCATTATTCTCGCTCAGCTTTTGGATAGACTAGAAAATAAAATTACTCATACTTTCTTTCCCCTCTACATATATATCTATAAAATAAAAAGAACATAATATAGAATATAGAATTTAATTAATCCCAGAAGGCCTGTTTGTTTAAAACCTACAGATGATCATTAGCACCAGTGGGGCCAAAGATTACTTCACTTATTCAGCAACAACACTTTTACATTTTGCAACAACAACAACAACAACAACAACAACAACAAATGCTTTGGGAGTAACTCAACACCAGTATTATTCAGTGGACAGTGAAGTTAAGTGATCCGATGGAAAGAATAACATGCGCTGCCTCTTATCCCGTTCCATCATTTCAGTCTGGTTGCTTTATGCTCATTATACCCCATTTAATCCGTTTCTCCCTTTGCGTATTGTTTCAGAGTGAAATAATTAGTTTGATGTCGGTGTGTGGGAAAACCCAGAGGCAGATCGAGACCTGGTTCAGACTTCGCAGGAACCAAGACAGGCCCTGTCAAACCAAGAAGTTTGGTGAGGCTGCGTAAGTGCTTTCTCTCTACCACTGTTTCATTGCTCAGGTTACAGGTGACTTCCCTCAACAACACTTATTCCACCACCCACTGCACAAAAAAACCCTTGAGAGCTTGGCACATCAAGCTATGTTGACTGATTTGTAGTCTTGTTTACATTTCTTAGGTGCCTTTTGTTTCAGTGTTCACAATTTCTGATCTCCAGTGTTTTATTTTTGCAGTTGGAGGTTTTTTTTCTACCTCACAGCCTTCGTGGCTGGAATGGCCTGTTTGATTGATGTGAGTTTCTAAATGTTTTACAGCAAAAACACAGTAATATAACTCTATTGTTGTATATCTTTTTCCCTGAATCAAATCCCATTAGTATAATCCAATAATAAATGTAATTAATTAGCTTTAATCTTATCTTTTCTCTACAGAGGCCGTGGTTCTGGGACCGCAGCGAATGTTGGAGGCAATATCCGATTCAGGTGAAAACATAACTTTCCGTACATTATCTCACTGCTTCGGATAATCAGTTTGTTCCATTTCCTCCTATATTACAACATGTGCATCTCTGACAGTGAGGAAAGCACCTGGAGGTGATCCGTTTTTAAAGGTAGTCTGACTGAAATATGAGTTTGAAGGAAACAGATTTAATTTGTTTTCAAGTGGAAATGAAAACAAGTATCATCCATACTACAGAGAACAATGAAAATTCTTTCTCACTGTTTCCAAATACTCACCATGTGGTTAAATAAATCTAAATAAATCAAGAATTGAAGGATGTGAGCAGAAATGCAGCAGCACTTCCCTCCTGTCATTTAAAAGTGACTGCAGTCACACTGTTTTCATTATCAATGAATCTGGTGATTATTTTCTTTATTGAAAATCGTTTTGTGGGCTGATCAGCACACACAAAGATATTCAGTGTCTTTATAGAAATGTCAACATCAGAGGATGGTTTCAATCCACTGACTTCTGTAATTACTAACTCTACATTCTGAGTTTTGTTCAGTGTTGTTAACCAGTGGTGGATTTAGAATAACATTTTCTTGACTTTTAAATAATGTTTGGTCCCCAGCCCATGGAGAGAGCTCATTACTGGTACTACATGCTAGAGTTGGGTTTTTATGGCTCTTTGCTCCTCCGGATCTCAGTGGACATCAAGAGGAAGGTGAGGACCTCAACATTCATTCATTCATAAACACAATGGATTCCCTCCTGAGTTTGTAGCCTCACAACACACTTGGCCTTTAGAGTACAACGTAAGTGAAGGTATTATCAGGTTTGCTTCAGCCCGGTCATATTTCATACGTGATGGCATGCACTTTAATGAGAAACTCCACTTAACACGAGGTTAATAAGTGACTATAGGAGGAGGAATTTTAATTCTATTTCTGACACAGGAAGGTCATTTTGTTTTACAGAGTAGATAGTCTATATATGTTTGCTTTGCCAGGATTTTAAAGAACAGGTGATCCACCATTTGGCCACCATCTTCCTGCTCAGTTTCTCCTACTGTGCCAACTACATTCGCATCGGCACCTTGGTCATGCTGCTCCATGACTCCTCTGACATCCTGCTCGAGGTAACGTGCAATCTCACATACTCCGGGACAAATTACACCAATTTTCACAGATGTGTAGGCAATGCTGCTTTAATGTAACCTTGGTGGGACTCAAAAGAATAGCCCATGTAAGTAAGTATGAGTCCCATGTCTCTAGGGCCAAAACTAAACAGACACATGGGACCTTACAGATATAATTAATCTCTTTAGAACGTGTCACCATAGATTCACCTCCACGTTGGCCATTTTTCTGCCTCTGTGTAACCCTACCAGAGTGTTATCTGTATAAATGTACAGTCAGATGTTCATACTGTGCTTGAGGCTGTTCTTAGAAAAAAAGTATCAAGTCTGAGATCTCCGGAGTAGCCTGCAGGACGCTCAACTATTCAGCAGGCGGATCCTGTGACCGAGTCCTGATAGCTAAAAGTAATCTAGCAGCCTGAGATGACTTTGATTTACCTGTAAGTAAAACACAGGATTGTAAATAAGAAACAAATTAAATATTTTAAAAACATTGTTTTATAAGGTTTTTTTCTGGATTCTTGCACTCAGTAAGAGAAGAGAAAATAAACAAATACAGCACTATTATAAAGACAGTAATGATGCTGATGACATACTGTATATACTACAGATATACTGTACAGCACAGAGCACCATATGGAAGCAAACATTCACTCATCTACTTTCCTTTTATTAAAGACATGCTTTCCTGATTCTCTATTATCCTGATCCCCTGTCTTGGCTCATTAACTCTTTTGCATGATATTTAAGATAGATAGATAGATACGATTAGATAGAGCCTAGATAGATAGATAGATAGAGTAGATAGATAGATTAGATATGATAGATAGTGAGATAGATAGATAACTTTATTGATACACACAGGAACAACACAATGAAGTTAAGAGAACAACCGTAAACATATTCAAAAAAGCAACATGAAGATGCAGATATAAAAAACTTATAAATAAGTTTAGATGTGTAGTGCAAAGTAAAAAATTATAGCAGATAGATTATCTTGTCAAAAAACATAAACCAATGTTTCATGTGATGAGTTTCTCTTCACACGCAAGCTTTAGTTTATGGTTTATTATTTATTCCGATCGATTCAGTTCGTTCCTATTTTTGCAGTCTGCCCAGATGTTCAACTACGGGCTCTGGGCTGGAGGAGAACGTGATGACGCACTTGTTTGTTGTGTGTGCGTGCGTGTCTTCCCTCGTGACATCGCCCGTGGTGATTTTCCCCCAGCACAGTAAGCGTCTTACTTCCTTGATTCTAACTCTTGTTTTTAGTATTTTTGTCGATAAGAATGTCAACTAGCTTAATGCTTGCACGGTTGACAACCCCTTTACGTCAGATTGTTTGATTATTTCCCACAGACATTCATCATCCACCTGGTCAGTGGAGGTGTTGAACCTTTTTTGCGCTACTACTTTCTTCAACCGTGCTCCTCGATGGTGCCTGCCACGGCTCTTACATCTTCTGGGGCCGGCTTTACATCCTACGCATGGTCTACAAGTTCCTGAAAGGCAATGTGAGAATCAAGTGATAATATTTGCTCATCCGATGCACTGTGCCCTCCATACAGACGAGCACACTGTATGCCAGTCAGAGTCGTAAAATTCAGTTTCTACTCATCCAATAATTAGATTGTCCGCACGTTAACCTCTGTACTCTGCTTCTTCTTCCAGCTGAAAAAGACGAACGCAGCCGGATGAAGAGGAGTGGGTGGAAGGAGGAAGAGGACTGATAAAGGGAGGGAAAGAAGGGAGATGTGGATCAGAGAAAGGAGATTACTGGTTGGGAGAAAAGTAAAGAACCTTTAACTCCAAACGTGTCTATGCTGACTACAGCTGTGTCCAAATTAACTTGAGCCAACACCCGCAGAGTCTGGGTAGCCGACAGATGCGTAGAGAGTCAGTAAAGTGGTGATTGTTTAGATTCACATAAAGCCGCACTGCTGATCGTAGAGGAACTACAACACTGTGTGACAGCATAGAGGTTGATATAGGATGGATGTGAACATTAACTCTTTTCTCCACTGGCCTTCAACTTTGAATTGAAAAGTGGAATTAGGACGAAGTTAAAGCGCGAGAGTTCAATATTAGGTCTTTTACAATGGCTCGACATAGCAGAGGAGTGAGTTTCGATCTATCGAGCCTCTGGTTAGGGGCCCAGCACGGCTTGCCGCTGCGCCACTCTGTAACAACCCCAGATGGGACTCGAACCCACATCCCTGGCTTAGGAGGCAGTGCCTTATCCATGTAGGCCCTGGGGCTGCTGCAGCTACTGGGGAGCCACTGCTGGAACTTTCAGTGGAGGTAGTAACACTGACACTATAATACTTTATGAGTTAAGATGGCAGGGATGGTAGTAGATGGTGTTTGAAGTAAAATCAGGGGATCATGAAAGTGTTCGGGGCCTGCCTGTCTGCCTGATGTGTTTCTTCATTGTAGCTTACACTGCAGACTGTTTACACTGTTTGTTATCCAGCAAGTTCACAGAGCACATTTGAAAACAGCAAAACAAAAGATATAAACTTGGTAGCTGATGTAAGACCCAGTACAGACGCATAGAAGTGATTTTTAAAATTGTTAAGTAATCAAATTGTTCCACAACATGCGATAGATATTTAAATGGAGGAAATAAAGTCATAATTTTACTCTGCCATGCCTGTCTCTTGTGGTGATTTAAGACATTGAAATAATATTTTGTTGACTGTGAAGTATCCTTGTTAAGTTTTGACTGTTTAACATAAAGCAGGGCAGGATTTGTGTACATTAACCACAGAGAGTATCAGTATTTTATTTAAAGGGCATTTAGATTAAATGTGTCTATATCATATACAACCCAAGTGTGAATATTATCAATCATATAAACTGTCAATGATACAACCACAGACTGTGATGCTGAATAGCTTCTCCTGCACCGCAGTGCCACCTGGTGGTTGGGACCAGGATGACACCAATAGACTGAGTGCTTTCTAAATGTTTACCTGTAATAGATAATACACATATAATAATTTCAAAGATGATGAAATATACGTTAATATGTAGGTTACATTTACGTAATATCTGTTTGATGAAATATAACTAGATAACGTGAATATGAGTGAAGCCGCACCTTTCCCAATCAAACACGTGATCAGATCTCTCCCCATGTACACAACTTGGTCATTTGAGCGATAAGAGAGTCCTTTTATTTATTTATTTTTAAACATTAACTTTTGGCTTCTTCGTCGGTAGAGTGAGGTTTGACCCCTGCTTGTTATGAAACAACGGAATTAAAATGAACTCTTTGTTAACGTTAACAATTAAAGTGTTGAATTGAACGATATCTGAACACCTTCCCACGTTCAGTGCAGAAGAAACGCTGGCTCGGCAGAAATTAGTCATCAACAAATATGTTCATTATAGTTGGTCTCTGTGGGGTGCATTTATGTTAACTATTTCCAGGTAACGGTCTTAATTAATGCTAAACACGGAGCATATCGCAGCGTACACTTTAATATGAGTATTATAAATAATATTTTCACATTTTTATACGTCTTACTTACGTCTATGAGTCACATCTAGCGGTGATATTGGTATCTAAATGCGCTCGGGTGCAGCAATTCGCATATCGTAGCTG